GCCCCCGGCGTCCGGGCCCTACTCCCCACCTTCCCTGCGGGCGTCCGGTCCCCGTTCCCCACGTTCCCCCCGGGTGCCCGGCTTCTGTTCCCCACGTTCCGTCCGAGCCCCGGGCCCACGCTCCTCCCGGGCGCCCACCCGTTCCCCACCGTCTGGCCGAGTGCCGACTCACCAGCCCCTCAGAGGACCCTGGCCTGGCCAAGCCGAACTCCAAGCTATGGACCGCCCCGACCCCCAATGCCTCCCGGCCTCTCCTCTCTTCTCCAAAAACTTATCGTTGGTTTTGGATAACTCACTCGCAGGTTGGACATCGTCTCTGTTCTCATTAGCCAAAGCTCTTAACCCAGGGTTTCAAAGGTCGCCCCAGGGACCCCTCTTCCCCAACCCAGCTGCTTCTCTACCACCAAGCACAGACCCAGCCAACCCTGCTCATCAAAGTCAGCCAGGCCTCAGCCTGGGGCTTCCTTCTTCCTTGGAACCCGGGAACCCCAAAGCTGAGAGAACTTGGCGGAGGGTTCTTTACCCATTTCAAAGAAGTCACCCTGAGGTCCAGCAGGGAAAGACATGGCTTATCGGAACTTGCCGGAGGCACCGATGGAGGCCTTGGGGACACTACAGCAAGCAGTTTTATACTCAAGCAAGTTAATGATTCAAATCGCTATACGGTGTTTGCAATTACATTAAGAGTGACGTCAGCATTGCTTTCAGCTCTGCTTGATCACCAGCATCCCACGATATTACTGGAAATATGAATATCCTTTAGTTTGATCACCTGCATCCCGTGTCTCATTAGTGGGAATATACCTAAACTTCGGAGACCAGCCTTGGCCAGAGGCCCCCAGGGAGGAGGGGCAGAAAGAAGCCAGGATAGAGGAAAACAGTCATGTCCAGATAATTCCTCATGATAAGAGTGGAGCCTTCATGAGTAGGATTAGTGCCCTTGTGAGAAACCAGAGAGCTAGCTTGCTCATTTTCTGTCATGTGAGGATATAAATAAAAAGACACCATCTGCAAGCCAGGAAGCAGGCCTTTACCAGATACTAGATCTGCCTGCACTGTGATTTTGGATTTCCCAGCTTTCAGAATTGTGAGAAATAAATGTTTGTTGTTTAAACCACCCTGCCTGTGGTAATGTATTACAACATCCTGAACTAAGACAGTATTTGAGTGATAGAATTATGAGATCCAGCAACAGGCTGATACAAAAGGACTCACTGTCAAACACAAAGTAGTAAATGGTCACCATGCTCATAAACAAAACCACTCATTCATTCACTGATTAACTGATTCACTCATTTATTCAAGAATGCAAGGAAGATTCTATAGAACCTTATTTTCCCTTAAAATAACCTAACAAAAAATGACAAAGACTTTTTAAAAAAATTTTTTGTAGAGACGAGGTCTCACCAAGTTGCCCAAGCTGGCCTCGAACCTGTGGACTCAGGCGATCCTCTCGCCTTGGCCTCTCACAGTGCCGGGATTATAGGCTTGAGCCCCCACATCCGGCCCAAAGACATTTTAAAAAAGAAACATCAAGACCAGGCACAGTGGCTCATACCTATAATCCCAGCACTTTGGGAGGTTAAGGTGAGAGGATTGCCTGAGCCCATGAGTTCGAGAACAACCTGGCAACTTGGCAAGACCTCATCTCTACAATAAATCAAGAAATTAGCCAGGCGTGGTGGCACACACCTGTAGTCCCAGCTACTTGGAAGGCTGAGGTGGAAGGATCACCTGAGACCAGCAGGTCGAGGCTGCAGTGACCATGAGCGTGCTACTGCAATCCAGCCTGGGTGACAGAGTGAGACTCCAACTCAAAAAATAAAATAAAATAAAAAGAAATATCAGGATGGTGATGGAGTTACTAAAAATTCCATTTTGAAAGGGATTGCCTTGGTGTTTGGTAATATTGCGATATTTTTAATCCTAAAGATTTAATTTTATAACCAATGCACCAAAGTTATAACCTATCCTCCAAATTAAATAACATAACTAAATTTGAAATGTGAAGTCATCCAGATCAACTTCTGGCATGACAGCATAAGGAGCTCCACTGACTCACCTTCCGGTGACACTGGTGAAAATTATAGAAAAACAATTATTCATACCATCTGGAAATGATCCTAGGACTACGGCACAAGAAGAAAATCTCTTCAAAGAAAATCTATTAAAAATAGGTTAAGGCCAGATGCGGTGGCTCACACTTGTAATCTCAGCACTTTGAGAGGCTGAGGTAAGAGAAGGCCAGGAGTTTGAGATCAACCTAGGCAACATAGCAAGACCTCGTCTCTACAAAACATTTTTTAAAATTAGCCAGGCGTGGTGGTGCACACCTGTAATTCCAACTACTTGAGAGGCTGAGGTGGGAGAATCATCTGAGCCTTGGAGGTCAAGGTGACCCTACTACCACTGCACTCCAGCCTGTGCAACAGTGAAACCCTGATCCAACAGCAACAACAGAAAATAGGTTAAAAAGGCAAGAGTCTGTGGTGTTTGATGCAAGATTCCTCCGTCCCAGTTTAGCAAGGCCAAGACTCCATTCCAGAAAGCTGTAGCAAGAACACAGATCTTCCTTTCCTTCTGGTACATTTGAGTTCCTTGTAGATCCTAGATGTCAGGCCTTTGTTAGATATACAGTTGGCAAATATTTTTTCCCATTCTGTGGGCTGTCTCCCTGCTCTCTTGATGGTTTCTTTTGCTTTGCAGAAGCTCTTTACTTGTCTATCTTATTTCCTAAGGTATTGGCCTTTAGGGTTCTGAATAGGTATTGGTTCCCAGTTCCAATTTCCATAAGGGTGTCTCCTGCCCTTTCTAAAATTCTTATAGTTTGAGGTTTTGCGTTTAGGTCTTTGATCCATTTAGAGTTAATTTTTGTGTATGGTGATAGGTAGGGGTCCTGTTTCAATCTTCGGCATGTGATCAGCCAATTTTCTCAGCACCATTTACTAAATAGGTTCTCCTCTCCCCGGTGGTTGTTGGAGGCTTTATCAAAGTATAATGCTATAAGAAAGCAATTGGCAGTAGTGGGAAACTGTGGGGGGGGGGGGTGAGTAGGATGGACATGTTGACAATATTGATTCTTCTGATCCATGGGCATGGAATGTCATTCCATTTGTTTATGGGACCTTTTATTTCTTGAA